GAGATTTACAAGGTGACCCAGCATGAAACTGTCATCTGTGTTGCATAGAAACATAGGTGCTTAATTTATAAAAATATTCAGAAATATGCACCTAGTAGGATTGTAAGGTTTACCAAATGTTTATCTAAGATAAACATGAAGCAAATATTTGGTGAGCGCCTTCTCTGAGCCAGGCACTTGTGGTTTGTGACAGCCTTGGATTTTGAAATATTTGCTACTGCTGCTTTTTTCCCTGCCCCCCACAATCCCAACCATGTGAGATGCTAGTTTCCTGAATGTGCAAGACACTCACATGATGGGTAATCAGCAGTCTGCAAAAAAGGCCACGAGGGATCCCTGGGTGGCTCGGCGGTTTGGCGCTTGCCCTTGGCCAAGGGCCCGATCCTGGAGTCCCGGATCGAGTCCCGCGTCGGGCTCCCGGCATGGAGCCTGCTTCTCCCTCTGCCTGTGTCTCTGCCTCTCTCTCTCTCTATGTCTAATAAATTAAAAATCTAAATCTTAAAAAAAAAAAAAAAGGCCACGATCCTTGTTTTGGTTTCCTCTAGCTACATCTGAGGGAGTTCTTGGTGACTGTCAAGGTCTGGAGGACAGTGGTGCCTCCCAGGTGGGGGCCAGCATGTACGCCGACTCACCAGGTCCCCTACAGGGTGCTCCCAGTGAAGCCATGTACACATAGCAGTTAAAATCATATTTACTTACTTTTATGGAACTGGCAATACTTACATTTTTTTTAAATGTACACATGATATGAACGTGCAGAATTGCAGTTGAGAAGGGAAGATTGTTCCAAGTCTTCTTTAATCAGAACATATTTGTTAAAAGCGTCAGTGGCTGGCTTTTCTTGTGCACTTTGCACGGAGGCAGCAGCATACAGGGATCGCTAGTGGCATGAGTGCCGATGTGGGAACTGAAGATCCACCTTTCTTGGCTGAGACACCTTGGAAAAGTTACAGGACCTCTCTGTGTCAAGCAGTTGGGGGCTGTCCAAGTCTACTTCATGGGATGGCCCTGAGGATGGACTGAGGTGTTTAAAAGCTCGACTGAGTAAATTTGAAGATCAAATTAACTTTATTCAGTGACTCGTGAGTTGGGCAGCATCCCATTCAGCAGACAGGCGCTCCAAGTGCTGCACAACATGGGAGACTTCTGTAGGCAGACGGGGACGGGGCAAGGAGCAAGCGGGCCACCTCCCCTCCGGGGGTTCTGAGGGTCCTGTCCAGTGGATCACCTCACTACTGCTGGCCAGGACATTCCAGATTGGTTTGAAACCGCTCCTGGGAAGGGTTGAAGCTGCAGTTTGGGTGTTGAGTCCTGGTTTGCTGACAGGAGACTGAGCACCAGGCACTCCATCCGGGGCTCGTGTCATTTTTGTAACACAAGTCCGGCTACTCTTGGTCCCCATGTAAAGGAAGCAGCAGCGCCCCAGGTCAGCTCTTTACACTGGTGCGGTCAGATCCTGACTCTAGCCTGGCCAAATGCCCATTTTCCCCAGTGACTCCCCTACTTCCTCACCCCTCTTTTTCCCTCCCCTCCATATCACTGCAGACTTTGCTTCCTGTGTCATCTGGAAAACAAACAGAACACCGCACCTGCCCTGTCCACCTGCAGGGCCCCCACATACTCCACCTTCTCTGTGGATGACCCTGCTGTCCCAGCAGGGGCTGGGCCGCTGGGCTGCTTCTCCCCTCTTTTTCCCACATCCTCCCTCTTCCTACATCATTCCCACTAGTTTATACACACGCTGTTTCCTTCCCCTCAGAACGCAAGCAAACAAACAGAAGCTGGTCCTTCTGGCTGAGTCCCAGCCAGCTCCGATCTGCCTCCAGGTTCTGCTCACCTTCTGGACACACCCACTCCAAGCACCTTGGCCACCTCAGCCCTGGGGCCTGGACCCTGCTCATTTCCCAGCTGTAGGACTCACCACTTCCTAAAGCTGCCTCCAGCCCATTAGAGTGTAGCTCCGGGAGGCAGGATGGTGCTAGTTCTGCTGCATCCTGGGCTCCATAAATACTTGAGTGGGTGATCGGCTGTCAGCCGCTAAGATCGTTTCAGATCTTTACCATAAGACTAATGCTTCATAGTTTCCTTCCTGCACAGCCTTCCCTTGGGGTTGGGTGTTTCCTCGGGATCTGTGTGCATGGAGTCAGCCAGTGCGAGCTCCCACGTGTCCCCTCCAGACCACTGCTTCTGGTTCACACCTGTGTTCTGGCAACACTGTCACCTGGGCCAGAAACCTGAGCATCATGACTATTCCACATCCATCCAGGAGGTGACCAAGTCTCCATGGGCTCTCTTACCCCGTTCCTCTCCTCTCCATCTCTATCCACGGCTGTCCCTCTCTCCTTGATTCCCTGCCTCTGAACTACCCTCTACAGTGCTGCCAAAGCCATTTTTCTAATGTGCAAATCTGATGCTACTCCTCCCGTTTTTGTTTTTTTACTCCTCCCGTTTAAGCTCTGGCAGTTCTGCCATAAAGTCTCATAGGATGCTATCCCGCCTCCCACATCTAGGCCCACCCTCCTCTGGGCAGCCCCACTTTTGCTTGCTGGAGACTCTCCCAGGGTTTGGATCACACCATGTGACTCAGCCTCACCAGATAGGGGGCTGCTCCTTGGGACCGGAGTTCATGCTGCCTGGAACGCTGGTCCCCTGGCCCCTTGGGCCAAGTCACCACTGGCATTCTATTTTTTTTTTTAAGATTTTATTTATTCATGAGACACACAGAGGGAGAGAGAGAGAGAGGTAGAGAGACAGGCAGAGGGAGAAGCAGGCTCCATGCTGGAAGCCTGACGTGTAGGACTCTTACCAGGGGCCTCCAGGATCAGGCCCTGGGCTAAAGGTGGCGCTAAACCTAAACCGCTGAGCCACCTGGGCTGCCCACCACTGGCATTCTAGATGGAACTTCTGCCCTGCTACTCTTAGGGCACCCAGAGTTCATGGGCACCTCCAACCCTCCCACTGCACAAACCTTATGGAACTGCCATTGTGAGTCTGACTTCCTACCAGACTGCTTCTTGTATGTGTCTCTGGCCTGTCATCTTTGTTCTTCCACCCGCCCCCACCCCCCATCCCAGGCCTTTTAAAGGCAGAACTTAGGATAATAGGTCACACTCCGCTTGCTCCTGAATGAAGGGGCAGGACCCATTTGGTGTCTGTGAGCAATGTCCCACCAAAGTGACGTTGGGAAATCCCAAGCCGCACCCTCTCCTTCAGGACTATGTCTTTCCAAGGGGACGCTGCTCACAGGGTGGCAAACCAATAACTGGAGGAAGAGTGAGCCAGAGGCGGAGGACTTTGTGGAGCTTGATTAGCAAAGGCACATGAAGAAGGGGAAATTAACCAGGAAATTGAAGGGACATCAGCCAAATTAGCTTGAGTCCCATTGGAGAGGATCTCACCCAGCTACCTCATTAGCAGTTGCAGGTGGGAAGGATGGGGGCTGTAGGAGTGTCCGCTGGTCACCCAGCACAATCGACCCAAGCCCACTTTTCACTGGTTGATGAGGTTGGGGGTGCACCCCTGTTCTTCCTTGGTGGGATGGTCACACTGGGGCCATCCCTCTCTCAGGCCGGGACTCCTGTTGGCCCCAAAGTCCTTGGCGACTCTCGTCCAGTCTCCACTCTTGACCTGGCTCTCCCCTAATGCTACCCAGGCTCGGCCTCCCTTCTTCCCCACCAGGATGCTGGGATGATGATGACCAGTGCAGGAGACAGGCCCTGAGGAGCTAATCTTGGGACTGACAGATAGGATGGTCCCTGAAGTAGAGTTAAAAATAAGGTGAGCGAGGGATCCCTGGGTGGCTCAGTGGTTTGGTGCCTGCCTGTGGCCCAGGGCATGGTCCTGGGGTCCCAGGATGGAGTCCCACGTCGGGCTCCCTGCATGGAGCCTGCTTCTCCCTCTGCCTGTGTCTCTGCCTCTCTCTTTCTATGTCTATCATGAATAAATAAAATCTTAAAAAAAAATAAGGTGAGTGCTGCGCTAGAGCAATCTCCAAGTCACTTGAAAGGAGCTGGGGTACACCAAGTGCTACAGAAGACCCTGGAAAGGCCTAGAGGTGCTGTGTCAGGAGCCCTAAGCCCGCAAATCCTTCTTTTCCAAGTATTATTCCAAACCCATTAAGCATTAGCTGGTGGCAATGAAAGTACATCAGGGAGGGAACCCGGCCGAGTGGCGGGTCTTTGCGTCAAGCTCAGGCCACTCCCCTGGCCCGAGCCTCGGTCCCCCGGCTGTAAACGAGGACTAATAATTACCTCCCGGGCTGCTGCGACGCTTGGCGGGACCGACGAGCAGCGGAGGGGCGGTGCGTGTCACCTACTGGGGGCTCAATATGCAGGGTTTTGTCCCCAAGCGGGGGATTATTTGTCATCAGCGGCTACACCTCCTAGAAATTACCTAATTTAATTTGTCAAGAAGAAAACCGAGGAACCGAACATCCGCTGAGCGCTAGCAGGCCAGGCGGAGACGCGCGCCCCGCTCTTCCCTGCAGGGGGCAAAGCTTGCACGACCCGAAGCGGCCCTGCGGGATCCCGGGTGGCTCGGAACGCGGAGCCCCCAGGCCCTCCGCCGCGGAGCAGGGACGCCAGGGGGCGGCCGGGGCACGCCCCTCCGGGACTGCCCTCCCGGCCGCCGCGGGCCCCTGCCCTTCCTCCCCGCCGCGGTGAGTGGCTCCGGCCGCCGGACCTCGCGCCGCCGAGCAGGTCTCCGCCGGGAGATGGGAGGGGGTCTCCCGGCAGCGGCGCGTGCCGCGCGGTGTCTCCTGGCGGTGGCGGTCTGGGGGCCGCGGGGGCGCGGCCGGGCAGAGCGCGGGGTCAAGGCCGACAAGCCGCCAACCCGGCTGCCGGGGGCGGGCGCGGTCCCTTTAAGACGCCGCGCTGGCCCCGCCCCGCGCCGCACCCCCGCCGGGAGCCGCGCCACGTGACCCGGGTCTTGTGACTGGCCGGGGGGGGCGGCGCGGAGGGGAAGCCCGCGGCGCCCGCCTCCGAGAGGGGCCCAGCCCCGCCGCCGCCGCCGCCGCCGCCGCCGCCGCCGCCGCCGCCGCCAGCGAGGAGCGGGGCCTGCCGCTGGGTCGGGGCGTCCGCGCGAGTGCAAGCCGCGCGGGAGCGGGAGTCCTTGCGGGAGTCCGGGCGGGAGCCGGGCCGGGCGCGGTGGGCGCCGCCCGCCATGGACCACAAGCCCCTGCTGCAGGAGCGGCCGCCCGCCTACAACCTGGAGGCCGGCCAGGGCGACTTCGCGTGCGGCCCGCACGGCTACGGCGCCATCCCCGCCGCGCCCCCGCCGCCGCCCTACCCCTACCTCGTCACAGGTGCAGCCGGGGGCGGCGGGCCGGGGTGGGGGGCCGGGCCCGCGGCCCCCGGAGCAAACTTTGGGGCCGGCCCCGTGGCGACCTTTAACCCCGAAACCAACTTTTCTCGGGACGCTGCTGCGGCGGGGGGCGCGGCCTGGCCGGGCTCGGGGGTCGGTGTGGGGGAGGCCTCCCCGGGGTCCGTGAACGCCGAGCCCGGTGGGCCGAGTGGCCGCCGAGTGTCCCCCGAGTGTCCCGCCCCGGGAGCCCGGGGTCGGGCCCTTGGCCGACCTGGGGGGTCGCGAGCCCCGGGCCCGCCCACCCCGGGAAGCGCCCGGCAGATCGGCACCCAGGAGAGCCCGTAGTGGGCACTTAATGGAGGCGGCCGTCGTCTGCATTTTGGAAACGATAAGTTTTGGGGGGCGGGGGTGTCGGGGCGGGGGGACAGCAGGAGAAGTAGCCCTCAAACTTCCCAGTTTTCCTCCCGGCCCCCTTCTGACGTGCCTTCCTGTCCACAGGGATACCCACCCACCACCCCAGGGTCTACAGCATCCACAGTCGAAATGTCACCAGGTACCCTGCCAATTCCATCGTTGTCGTTGGAGGCTGCCCAGTCTGCAGGTATGTCACAGGCAGGGGCCGGCCCAGACGCCTCTGAGATCATACACCCAGGGCCTCAGCGAGGCCCGCTCGCCGGGAGGTGGCCGCCCCGAGGTGGCGGGTCTTGGGACCAGCGCTGCCCTGCGGTGAGCGAGAGAGCCGGTCGGTTTGTCCTCCCGTCTGAGTGCTGTTTCACAGGTCACAGGGGAGGGGCTCCCTTTCCTGCGGAGTTAGTGGTTTTTGGGCCACTGAGTCCCAAATGAGTGGGACGCAGAAATGTTAACACGTCGTGTCCCTGGTTCTGGGACCTGCAGGTTTGCTCCAAAAGTGGTGGAAGGTTTCCTCTGTTGGGAAGGGCGGCCTGAAGTGCAGGGGCGCTCTGACGCAGATGGCCAGTGTGTCCAAGGATCCGGAGGTCCAGGAGGCCAGGGAGCAACTGTGGGCTGTTAGCTGGAGGAGGATGGTGGTTCTCTGGGGCGGGAGTGGTTTTTCATACTCTCAAACCAAAGGCTCCAGGGGCTCGCAGCGGCTTTTCTAGGGTCTGAGATGCAGCTGGGTTGCGCTTGCTCTGTGTGGGTCATGAGGGTGTACGTTCAAATAAGACTTGGTTCTTACTCTTGGTTGATGCAAGAGTTAGGGGTCTTCAGTGTGTCTGGGAGAAGGAAGTTGAAGTGTTAGATGGAATTGAGAGATGCTGGTTTACGCTTGGGCTTAATGTCAAAGGGGTATCTTGAAGGCTCAGAGTGGAATCCAGGAGAAGTTAAAGATTTCAGAGTCACAGGGAGTGACCATGTGGGAGGGAGAGAGCCTCTCAGAGATGGGGGTAGGAAGCTGGACTCCCAGAGCCAACAGTGTGCTTCGATTGTAAACTCAGGTACATCTTCTGATCTCATCTCTGGGGAACAGGAAGGGGGTCGCACCGTCCTGGACACTATTCTCACGGCATCGCAGCTGTTGGGGTTTGGAGACATGAGGGGACAGGGCCTGGGAGCCGGCCGGGTGCTACTGGGTTGGGCTGCTGGGCTGGGGTCGGGGCTTGGTTCCCTGTGAAGAGAGCCACAGGGAGTCTTGGGGGTTGTGTGTAGAGGTGGGTGATGGAAACCCGCCGTATTTGGCTTTGAGGCTGGTGCTGGGTGCTCAGAGCTCTGGCTGTGTGCACAGTCCTTCTGTCCCCACTCAGGTCAGCTGGAGGTTTCCAAGGACCTATTTTTGGGCGGGAGAGTCTTTTGAGTGATGTCTCAAATTTAGAGAAGAGTATCAGGCTGACAGACTCGGGGAGAACCAGGGAAGTGTCTAAAGGTGTCGGGCAGAGCAGCCTGGCTGGGATTTCAGTGTGTCCACGCTGTGGCTGATTGTTGTGTCCCTGCCAGTGCCCAGCCTGCTGTGGGCGCTAGGTTCAGATCCTGGCCACATTTGCCAACTTGGGGAAATGCGGGTGTCTTGGGGCGCTCTGTGGAACCCTTTCTGGCCCAAGCGCTTGTGCCCAGAGACCACAGCAAGGCCCACGAGGCTCTGTGGGGTGAGGGAGCGCTTGCCCTGCTACTTCCTTTACCCCAGGGTGGGACTGCTCTTTTCCCCAAGGCCTGTGGCTTCCCCTGCTTGGGGTCCCAGAGCTGGGGTCCCGCAGAATCTGGATCAAGGTCAGGCTGCCTGAGGCTGAGGTGTGGGACCCCCGCACCGGGGACAGGCTTCCTCCTTTTTATGTTGGGATCACCATCCTCCCTGTCCGGGTGGTCGCAGTGAGGAGGGGGTCCTCTGAGAGCAAGTTTGGGGACTGATTTGGGACCAAACACTAGATTCCCTCTTGGCACGTCCCCCTGTGATCCCTCTTGTCTGCAGATTGCAGATGGATGGATGCGGGCAGGAAGGGCCCTCCCCTTGGCCCTGTGAGGCCTTTCTCTGACTTTGCAGCCCTGGGTGTGGGACCCACCTTCCTAGGCAGCCAGTGGGGGTGGGAGGGATAGGGGGTAGGGACAGGGGGAAGTGGGGAGAGGCTGGACGCTTTGCAAGGAAGCACTGCTGTGATTTGGGGAGTGGGTGTGTGGCCCTGGGGAGGCTCTTCTCTGGGGAGAATGGAGAGGTGTCCCCTGAGCATAGTCCAGCGAGGCCACTGTCTGGCATCTAGAGTTGGGAGACAGGCTTGTCACGTGACTACACTGTCTCCCTTTCCATCCAGCCCGCCAGGCTCTGTTCCTTTTCCTCCCTGGTACCTTGGCAGGGATTTGCCCAAGTCACACGTCTGTGATTCCTTCTGAGTGAGGCTTGGCATAAGAGAGGCCTGTGTCACTTGGCTGTCATCCTAGCAGCCTGACCCCATCTTCCCTTTCTAGTGGGCTACACGAAAGCTTTTCTTTGGAGCTCAGCAGATGAGCATGGTCCTCGTTTCATCCCTTCCGACCTGGACTATGTGCCATCTTGCCCAGCCAGGGCTTTGGCCAGCCCCTGGCCTTTGAAGCTGGTCCTCCTCTGGGGGGTGTGGGCCACCCTCAATGCCGGATGAGGGGCGGTGGCAGCCCCCAGAGTCTGGGAGCCCAAGCCTGGCTAGGTTCACCCCGGGCGGTGGTGGGGCAGCCTATTGGGAAGGCTCTCTGGGCAGCAGGGGTCAAAGGCCAAAGAGTGCATAACATAGCAGGCACAGGGCTTGGCCTTCCCTGGGCTCCCCACTGACGCCAGCTGGGTGTCACTGAGTATTTAGTTTTGGGGGTAACCAGAGAGGTAGGAGGTGATCCAGAAACAAGTGGGGCCTTGGAAGCTGGGAGAGGCTGGAGGAACAGCTCTCAGGGTCAGTGCTCTTGGGCCCACGTGGCGGGTGCTGGTGGCCCTGGTAGAGCCTCTGGTTGAGGTATGACACAGGACACAGGGGGATGGGGGGGGTATGTGGGAGGGTCCTAAGAGGAAGGGCCCAGGGACAGAGCCCAGGGTGTGTGGACAGCGGCCATGGGCAGGTGGCGGAGGAGCTGTTGCTTGTGACTGGGGCCCCAGCTCATCCGGCGCCTGCAACTGCAAAGCCAGCCTTCCAGCCGCGCCCAGAAGACCTGGCTGGCCTGGGCTGGCTGGACAGCAGGCCACCAGGATGGGCCCTGTCCTCGTCCATGGTCCCGTGGGCTCTGCCCGCCTCAGGAGGCAGCAGCACCCGGATGAGCTGGGACTTGTGCCCTGGGCTGCGCTGGGCAGGGCACGCAGCTCGTGGGAGTGCTCCAGGGAGTGCTGGGGCCTCCAGTCCGCCGCCGGTCCAGGCCTGAGCCTTGGTGGTGCACGGCCCCACCGGAGGGCAGGTCGTGCTGCTCAGGCAGGCAGGAGGCTCCTCCGGGCCCTCAGGCTTGTGTGGAACCGCCCCTCCTCCCACGGAGGCCCCGGGCAGCAGAAGGCCGGACAGATGCGCCTCCGAGCACGTGAGGGGTGACACGATTGGCTGGGTGCTTTGGGCATCAGGTCCCCACCCCGCCTTGGCTCCAGGCTTGAGGCCACCTGGAGAGAGTCCTCTGCTCCCTTTTCCCTGAGGAGGGCCGGCCTGGGGATTGCTCCTGGGGCTGGATCCTGCCCTGAGTAAGGGGGGACAAACCAAAGGCCCCTGGAGCTGGTGGCACTGAGTGCCTGGGTCTCCTGGGTGGGGAAGCCCTTGGCAGGGCTGCTGAGAGCGATACAGGGCATGCTGAAATCTGGGACCATCCCGGGACGTGTGGGGCTGCTGTTCATGATGGCCCGTTGCTGAGGCAGTGCCCTGGCCACTCTGCCCTCCCTCAGGAGGCGGGGGCCCCGGGCAGGCAGGGGCCAGGCCCGCTCCAGACAGATGTCCGGTGGCCACTTTCTCCATAGCGTCAGAGTTGGGAATTAAATAAGCGTTTTCAGAATTTGTCAGTTCCTGATTTCTCCAGCTCCCACATCTTTCCCTAACCGCTCCCCCCCAACCCCCTTGCTCAAGAATTGGGTGGGGCCTTTCTCCAGAGCGGAGCACAGCTTTGCTCAGTTTGGATTTGGGATTTGGAGCCAGTTGAGAGTTGAAGCTCGTCCTAAACTGACTGGGACCATGGGGATGGGGGTGGGAATTTGGAGGAAGAACCTGTAGGCCATTTGGGAGAGGCTGGCGTCCCCTCCAGGAGGCAGCCTGGGTCTGGGTTGTTCCAAGGTGTCCCCTCCCTCCTTGGTGCCTCACAGGGACAGGTTTGCTCTGCATCCTGGAGTCTTGCTCCATCAAGAGTGGCCCAGAGATCAGATTGTGTTTCTCAATTCAGAAGATTCTGGATTTTTAAAAACTGAATTATGCCAGCATTGGTTTTGAGATCTGGCGCCGTACCCATGGTCAGAATGTTAATATTTTTGCAGCACGACATGAATATTCATGTGAAATAGATGAATTATGACCATAAATGGCCACACGTCAGTTTAGGCCACAGGTGGTTGCCAGGCAAGTTTGGTATAAACCTGTAAAAAAGTCTGCTTTCAGAGTCGTTTGGAAGAGGTGTGTGGACTCCCTGGGCTCCCAAGTGTGGTGGCAAGTGTGATGCCTGAGGGCTGACCCCCTGCTCATCGGCTCCCGCTGGCTGTCCCTTGTTTCTCAGGCTTGAAGGCCATGGTGGGTTTGGGTCGTTGCCCCGTGGAAGATGATCTGGTCACCAGCTTGCTGGCAGGGAGCCTTCGTGAAAGGAAGGCTCTTGCTCTTCCCAGAGACATGTGGCCAGGCCATCTTTAGAGTGGGAAGGCAAATGGGGCGAGCCGGGGCTCTAGCCCTGATGGGTAGGCCTGGGGTGAGGCACAGGGTCAAGGACTCGGCAGACAGTGCTCCTCACTGAGGACAGAGGAGTGGGGTGGCCCAGGCTGCCAGCTGTGCCCCGGCCAGAGTGACTGACAGGTGTGGACCGAAAACATCGCAGGGTTGAGCAGCCAGGGCTTGTGTCCCTTCATGCCTGGGAGCTGAGGTGCGCCTGGCTGTGTGTTACCCTTGCTTTGCCTTTTAAGTTCCCAGAGCGCCTCTGAGGCGGAGCGAGGCTGAGCGAGGGGAGCGTGGGGCTGGGACGGTGTGGTGGCCACTGGGAAGCTTTGATCTTGGGGAGGGCCAGCCTCTTGGCGTCTCGGGCAGCGAGGGCCTGGGAGTGAGTGAACAGTGCCCCCCCCCCCCCCCGGGTTTCCTGAGGACCGCAGGAGCCTCCTCCTGGACGCCCTGAGCCCTTGAGCAGACATGCGGGCTTCTAGGCTGTGCTGCTGTAACCGCTTTAGTCCTTGAGTGGGATGATGTGGGCTGTCCAGCCTGAGTGGGTGCTCAGCCAGGTAGTCCCTGTCCTTGGGCCGCACGCTCCCCTGGAGGGGATGCTGGGCAAAGCTCCCTCCTAACTTCTTCAGAGGGAAGCTGCTCTGGAAGGTTCTCAGCTGGTGCTTGTGACCCAGCTAGGAAGCCTGGTTCACTTTGGCCCTTTGCTTTTTTTTCTTGGGCATTCTAAGCGACTTTGTGAACCGGTGCAATTCTTGGGAGTTTGGCTGGGGTGGAACTTTTTGTAGATGCCAGGAGGAAGGACAGTGACACCTGGGTGGTTCCATAGCTCTGAGCGGTCCAAGGCCACCTGGCCGCATCCAGCTGCTATGGAAGTGGCTTCACTAGCATCCATAGTCACGGGGGCTGTTGGTGAGGACTGTGGACAGAGCAGGTGTTCCTGTCCCCGTGTGTGGGGACACAGGTGGTGGCCCAGGGCCTCCCTGAAGCCTCATCCCTGACTTTGGTAATATGCACTCAGGTGCTTTTTCAGTTGGGGCAGGTGTAGGTGGGCTCTGCATGGTTGTGTCTGGACTCTCAAAGGCAGGGTCAGCCACGGGAGGGCGGAGAACAGTGTGGGGACCTGATGGCCCTTGTAGTCCGTAGAAAGGGGTCTCCGGTTACAAAACTTTGTAACCATCTAGACAAGAAAAGGTAACTCTAATGATGGAAATTCAGGCCTGCTGATTAGCTTTCCCTCAGATCCAGCCTTGCCTGTGTCTCGCCTGACCGGTCAGCGCACACGTCAGTCTGGGAAACACCAGCTGAAAGTTTAACAGGGGTCTTTACTGCGGGACTTCTCAGAGCCTTTCCTAAACTGCTGTGCACTGTGATTCCAGGACGAGGAGAGGGTTTCCTCAGATTAAGCAAAAAAACTCACTTTTTCTTTTCTGCAGAGCTTATCAGGAGAACTGCTGTTTTAGGACCAGCACCTTGGGAAGTGCTTCTAGAGTGTCATTTCTATTGTAGACATTTTAGGTAACTCCCTCTTGAGTGGGTTAGAAGGGAAGTGGGCATCGAGTTTGACTTTTATTTAAGCAGTTTGAAAACCAGGCTTCCTCATAGTCTAGTTTATCACGATTCTCAGCCTGGTGCCTGGAGCTGGAGCCCTGGCCCGGTGGGTGGCCACAGCTGTGGGCAGTAGCAGGTTTGGTGGCATTTTGACTGGAAGAAGCCTTCAGTTGGGTGCTTCACCTTGAGACTTGACCTTCCATTAAGCTGAACCATCCTCCTCCACACAGGGTGACAAAACAAGAAGCAACGGCTTGCAGAACATTGTGGGCACAAGAGAACCTTAGCAGCGTTTGAAGACCAGGGGCTGAGGTGTGGGTAGAGGAGGAAGTGGCTACGGGAAGACCGGAGCAGCTGGGGTGAAGGGGGGTGGGTGGGGATTGGGAGTGGGGTCCACTGCTGAAGGCAGGCAGGCTCTGGGAGCGCAGCGGGGCGTGGGTGCACCAGGCCTTTCTGCTTACTGGCCCATCTCCTGCTGAGCCCTTGCTGTTTCTGGCTGGGCTCCTGCCACCCCTGGAGACCCTCCCTGAAGTTCCTCCTTTCTTCTCAGTACGCAGCCCTGGCTGGTATGGCATACTTGTTCTGGGGAATTCTGTTGAAGTGCCTTGTTCACCAGAGGCCCTCAGTCACAGTGTGGTAGACGAGGCTGGAGGTGTCCTTGGCTGCCTGGGGAGGAGCTGGTTACCACTGACTTTCCCTGGCTCTTGGGAGTGTGAACCATTTCTCATTAGGGCCGAGTTGGTTATTCTCATTTGGATTTCAGCTGTGTCCAGAACTTTCTAGAAGTAACCTAAGGAGCAGTGGTGGAACTGAGTGCCTGGCTCTTGCTTCCCACCTTTGGGGCCTTTGAAAATGACCCTAGAATGAGTGGGGACTTTAGGTCACTGAACCTGTACTCATGGCACCTGTGGGGACAGCCCCTAGGCATCTTGTGTGTGGTGCACATTGAAGGTAAACTTGACTTTGTGAAGAAGAAATGGAGATTAAGTTTCTCAAGAGAAAGTAGTTGTCTTATGTTGTGAATATGGCTGATTTTAATCTTTCACTAAAATCCATCATAACCTTTCCCCAAATCAGAATTCTGACATCAGTTTTTAGAATTTCCATCTAAGGGATGGGAGAATAAAACTTTCCAACAGTGGGGAAAAATACTCTAAAATGATTGTTTTCTTGGTCTGGTCTTCAGAGATAACAAGCATTTGTATAGAAACTAGCATTTGCTTCTCATTCCTTTTTTTGTAACGGATGAGAAAACGTGGCAGGTAGCCTGGGCGGTGAATGTTCTCGTCGTCATAAGTGAGGATTCCTTCAGGTGACTTTCACGTGTTCCCGTGGTGGCAGAGAGCAGTAGCCCGCCTTCCCCCGGGGGGCAGGTTGGTGGCTGGCAGGGCGAAGACTGCTTCCGTGGACACGGTCACTGGGAGGCCGGGGCTGGAAGGGCCTCTCCAGGCACGGCTCTGCCAAGGGCCCTGACGCCAGTGCTCGCCTCTTCTCTCCACAGAGTCGGGGTTCTGGAGGACTCCTTCACCTTCCTGGGCATCTTCTTGGCCATCATCTTGTTCCCGTTTGGGTTCATCTGCTGTTTTGCCTTGAGGAAGCGAAGATGCCCCAACTGTGGAGCCAACTTCACTTAAAGGGAACAACACACCTGGCTTTCCTACATCCAGCTGTCTTTTTCTAATGTAAATGTTGTGTACAGTAGCTTTATTTGATTAAGCTTTCAGGACTGTTTTGTAAAGCGAGGTGGGATAGACGGCGTGAGCTGCGGTTTCATGGTTTCATGGGCGCAGGGGTCACAGCGTGGGGATGCGGCAGCACTGCTCCGGGTGAATGACAGCTCAATAAAGCACTGCTTTTATTTTTTTGCAGTCTTCAATTTGAGAAAGGTGAGAAATACTGTTTTAAATAAATGAGATTCATACCATTGTTTACCTGGTTCTGCTTATTCAGTGTGTGCACACTGTTACTTGTATAAACAGACTTGCATATATGTTTGAAATTTTCTGTAACCGAACAGACTAGAATAATATACCCGTCGCCTGGCTTTGGCATGGTCCGGCTCATGGCAGATCTCGATCTATTTCTCCGTAGGCATACACAGCTCAAGAGAATGTGCTTTCCAAATTTTTATTACTATAACAAAACGTAATACCTTGACATGTACAGAGCATGCACCTCCGTGCCCAGGACCTAAGGCAAGCCCTCCCATCCTCTGTGAGGCAGGTGAGTGCCCACCGCAACCCACTCTGTGAAGATGTAGGACAGGTCGGGTGAGCCCAGTGAGCCCACGGCGATCATCTCTGTAACAAAGCCAGGGGATCCCGAAGAGCAGAGCACTGAAGGCCGGGGGTCCCCCACCCCATTAACACGCTTGTGTTACACCTGACTCCCCACCTTTGGAAATACTGAGCTTCCGTGAACCTTCTTACCCAGATGGTGAGAGAAGCAGTGGAGCACTTAACTAATAAATTTGATGGTTTTTTGGCTGGCACCATCTTCTCTCAAGACAGATGTGCTGCTTGCCAGCTGTACTCAGCCTGACTTGGTTGGCCCTGGAAGAGCCCTCACAGAGGTCTGACGCATCAGCCTTTGGTGGGGTTGCCTGGTTGACTTGACCAGCTGGGACAGGACCAAGAACACATATTGTCACAAACTGGTTTACCTGCATTTGATGGTGACCATTTTCAAGCTTATAGAAAAATGTTGATATTTATGGTGAGACCCAAGGAGCCATGATAAACAAGGACCTCTGTGCCCACGCACAGTGAATGGCGTGGGTGGGAGTCATGATTCTGCACTCCTCCAATACAGGGCCCAATCTCTGGCACCTGGAAGTAAACTGGGCCCCTGGCTCAGAGGGTGTGATGGCAGGTCTTGGATGAAATGCAGACCTTCCCGTCCCAGTCGCCAAGACTCAGGCTCCTGGCTTTCTACACCTTCTGGGCCGGGGCGGGGCGGGGGGGGGTGTCAGTACCCGACTCATAAATGAAGAAACTTGGACCCCCAGATGTTTCAGAGTACACTAGTGGATAGAGGCAGCTTTGGTCAGCTAGCGTAATGAGAACACCCTGGCTTTGCTCACATGGATGTGTGACGCTCTGAGCGACTGGGTCTTCATTGGTCAGTCCAGGTGGTAACTCCAAGCCACCAAGCTCAGTAGCTCTTGGGATTATTCAAGTACTAAACGTCAGGGCCGTGACAGGGATAGGCAAAATGTCTCCGTACTCTAGAGCTACGTCTAAATTGAGGGAAATGGGATTCTTCCAGCTTAGGTTGCTCTACATTTGATCAAACAAAAATTAATTTTTTAAGTTAAAAAATTAAATTTTATATAATAGTCTCATAATTTATATTGCTTACAACTGTGATTTGCACGCCAAGAGGCAAATTTACACATCATTTCCTTTAGATGAATGTCATGATGCTAGGTAAGAGCACGTGCTTTATAAAACTGTGGTCCCATTTGCATTCAGGTGCAGAAAGCCAGTCATGAAAGTGTAGACTATCCCTTACTCTGGCTATTAAAAATCATAGAATATTTTAAAAGATACAGTAAGGATTGGGACCAAATTTACTGTCCTCTGATGAACAGAAAAGGAATATTTTAAATAACTGAGTTGGTCACTAAACTACTCTTTATCTTCTTTAAAGACAGAAATGTATCAACCCAACTATGTTCAACTGAGAGAATGCATTGATTTGCTCAAGTAGAATACAGGTAAAATCAGGCACCCTTTGGCGAAGCTTTACATCAGTTACAGCGCACATCAAATCGCGTGTATCATTTTGCAAGTGAGAACTTAATGTTGGAGGAACAGGAGTCCCCGGGCCCTCTCTTCATCGGATGACGGGCGCTGAGCGATCGTTTGTCACTGTCGGCCGGAGTTTCACAGTAGCAAAGGGGTTTTCTCCACTGTGTGGGGAGGAAAAACAGCTGCAGAAATACTAAGTGATGGAAATTTGATTTTAAGAGAGCTTTGAACTACTGTTCTCGCTCTGTGCAATTCTGTGGTTTCTATATAAAATTCTGGACGTTTTCTGAACATGAACGTTGTGGCAGATCTCTCTGTGCCACCCACCTGCCACAGAACTCTCTAGAGTTGCAGACACCGTAACAGGAGAGCCCACCTCACTGTGGCCCCTGTGCAGGAGAAGGGCAACGGTGGGGGCGGGAGCCACCGAGGACACGGTCTGGATTAAGTTGCCTGACACAACAGTAACCAGGCAGCTTCCCTTCAGGACCTGGGCAGAGGTGGGCAGAGCCTCCAGCACACCCCAGCCCCCCCCCCCCCCCCGCGACGAGAACACAGTGGCCGCATCCTCCTCACACCCCCGAGGCCTGAGGCCTCGGACCTTCTAGGCTGTGCACCAATGAAGGAACCCCCAAAATTCAACGTACCTGAGGAAAGGAGGCTTTGCTGTCCCATTTGTGTCGTTCTGTGAAGAAGATAAAGAGGAAGTTTATGGACGGCTCATGAAATTGGGACACTTAATAAGAGCAGAAGGTAAAGCCATCTAAGGCAGAAGGGACTATTTGTGGCTAATGCGTGTTTAAAAGTGCCCTGCAGTCTCTAGCCATTTGAGACCGTTTCAATGTCTGCCTAAAGTCACTTAAAAAATAAGGGTGAGAACAGAAGACCATAGACAGGGAGGGACCCCACGAGCACCTGAATGCCTCGGACTTGAGAGGCCAGGATGTGTGCACCTGTGGCCCTTCGGCTGTGGAGCTACAGTGCATGCAGGTGGTTTTTTGGGAGCCCAATCCTGAATGATGCCGTGAAAAACCAGTAAGTAAAAACAAAACCTTGCTGGATTTTGGCGCCCACGGCTAGCTGGAGATCCCGCAGGACACTTCAGAAGGTGAGAAGGGGATGGAACAATGCCAGCGGTCTTTGCCTTCACAACCACCAGAGCCTGGGGACTTGGGGGTCTCCCACTGTGGCCACGGACCACGGGGTGTGTCCTGTCCTTCATTCTAGAAGCCTGCAGGCTTTAAAAATTTGCTTTAAATCTGCTCTGGCTGTTCCAAGAAATCACTAAGCCCAAGTTTGTGAGGCTAGTTCTCCAGACGGTCGCCCAGGAGAGGGCAGTGTAATGCCGTCTGAGCAACAGGCCACCAGAGCAGCCAGTCCTCAAACTCCCAGGATTCCCACTCTCACTTCCTGTTGCCAGCCTGGGGGGTTGAAGGCCATACTTGGCGCAGAAGCACTGTCAGGGCTCTTTCTGCAGGACTCCTGGGTGTTAGACTCTCAAAAAGGGTCGCAGGCCCCTGGGCTACTTTAGAACTATGCCTGCTGTCTGTTAGGACCTCAAAAGGGGACTATGACTGGGGCCAGCAGGGTCATCCTGATGGGGGAACCCCAGCACCAGGAGACAACTCCAGTTAGTCCTGTGCCCCAATTCAGCATGTCTACTTTTCTTCACTGATGCACAAAGCAGCTGCCCTGCTCAGCACATCCTAATTGGGCTTGAAATGGCTGCAAGTGGTTTCTTCCTACTAGACAGGCTGAGCTTCCCCAGCAGGCCTCTGAGTAAGTAATTTCTGAGGGTAGCGCTCATATTCTATGATAGTTACAGGCTAGTTTATGATTTATTTAAAAAGCTCCAGGAGACCTGCCCTGCAATGCCTCACGTGCTCAGACCGCTGGCAGTGGTGCCTGGCCTAGAGCAGAAAGCCCTGTGCCAGGGAGGCACATCACATTACACTGGGAAGAGGCTTCTGGCGTCCTCCCGGCCTGGAGAGCACACTTCCTGCCAAGCCAGACTCCCCACACAGGGCCCATGCTTGGCCCCAGAGGCACACAGCCCTCCTGCTCCTTGATCTTCTCACTGGAAACCACCTTCTTGCTGCCTGTCCTCGGGGGTGGACCTGTATCCTGTATCCCTGCCAGGTGCATCCTCAAGTTTGAGGAGAGCTCTGTGCACCCTGAACTGGAAACCAGACACACCACCCTCCTGGGGTACCTGCAGGCTGTCCTTGAGGGGAGGGCCTTGGGGCTTGTTCCCAGGAGACCCACTGAAACCCCTACCAGGTCACTCAGACCCTCCTGGGCCCTGACACATTTTGACTTTAAAACAGAGTTTGGGCACATTTTCATGAGCTCTGCCATCCAAGTACTTGGCCCAGACATTTGAGAGAAACAAACATGGCGGCAGAGATGCGTCACAGTCCACTAAAAGTAAAGTGGCATGAAGTAACAACTCCTGCTGTGAGGGAGGACAGCCTGAAGCCATTCAGTGCCAGGGCAAACCTGGGTCCTGCCATGAACCCTACACCATGGGTCCCAGCAGCGCCCATGGGCACTGAAACCCCTACCAGGTCACTCAGAGTCCCGTCAGAACAGCCTAAACATCTGTCACCAGGAGAAGGGACGACAGTCTTCCATCCAGTGAATGCCACACAGCAACAGTATGTCACAGGAGGGCATGCTGCACAAGGTCACACCGAATGGGCCATCCTGGTTTCCAAAATCGGGCCAGTCTGGACTGTGAGCAGGGACAGTGAGGGGGTGGGTGGTGGGTAACGTTCTAGTTCTTGATCTGGTGCTAGTTATATGCAGTTGCTTTGTAAAAAGTCATGCATTTTCCCGCACATGGTATTCTTCAATGTTTACTTTAAAAAAGAATGTTTTCAGAAAGGCTTCTTTAACAGACCTCCATGGAGCCCACTGCTGTGGCCACAACTGACCACCTCCCCAGACCTGCCCCTGCTCCCTGTCAGGGGAGTGCATCTCTAGGCCACACGGGGCACCACCATGGGTCCCATCATGAGGGATTGTGCACATTCTGCTCAGAAGCGTTTTCAGAATCTTCCCACCTCAAACCTGACTGCAGAGCCCCATTTCTCATGCTGGTCGATGCCACAAGCTCTCCTGTCCTGCCTGCTGCCTCCAAAAGCTCCACTTAAGCCTGTCCTTCCCCTGCCTCTCTTGGGCTGTGTGGTGAGGTTTGGGGTCCCCTGTCTCTGCACTCCCCAATCCCATCTTTCCCTCTTCCTTTGTCCTGTAGGAACAGCCAAATCCCTGGAGACCTTTCTTGGTCCTGTGTCCCAGCACCAGACCTGACTCGCTAGGGCTCCTGCTGGCCCATGGCCTCTGCACAGGCTGATGGGGCTCGGAAGGGGACACAGCTTGTGCTAGAGTGTGTCTGCAGAGCTGGGCTCTCCCCGAGGTCCCCATAGGCAA